ATCAAGAGGAAGTGACTGACCTAGTGTGTATGTGCAAATCCCAGACAATCAGCGGCCTTTTGTCATCATTTTGCAGGGTGGGGTCATGGGGCAATGTAGTGCCCAGGGAACACAGAGGGCTTTGAGGTTGTACAGGTGAATGAGGAGCATCCTTATCCACATACTTAAAACAAAATAAGCTGAGCATTCCTTGCACATCAGCTAGATCAGGACATTAAGTTCCTCTCCAGGTTTCCTGAGGATCATGGTGAATGTTCAAAGATCACCCGAGCTGCTGAAATGACTCTAAATTGAATTTCAAGGCTGACTTGGCAGCGTTTGAACTGTTCACTCAGCAGTTGTTCTCCTTGGCTAACCTGAGCTGGGCTGAAGGTCTTTTGGGGAACCCCATGGAAAAACAAGTAGGACATTAAGGACATGTATTTTGACACACCTTGTGTGGTTTGTACATCATTAGACTTGCAAAATGACATTTAATAAACAATTCTTATGGAGGTACTTGCTGAAAGAAGAGGTTGAAAGTGAGTACTGCCTGTGGTGGACGGGGCCTGGAATTTGGGTTGCCTGACTTTGCATAATCATCACCTTGAAAAGGTGTTGCGTCTTCCTCCAATTATAGATGATCGGGAGCTATCTTTCCTGTGCAGTGTGCAGTCCTGATGAGATCCTGCAGGACTCCGGTGGGGGTGGGGGTGGGGGGACATCTGGGCTGCTGTGGTGGAGGGCAAAGACAGATGGTGGTGGTGGGCTCCCAGAAGGTCCTTTCCCCAGACAGGACAGGCAAGGTTGCTTCTGACTAGTGAGGAGCATTTCTTTGGTTCAGAATGATCCTCTTGTCTCTTCCATGTCTGAGGTTGCTGGGTGGAGGACACACCAAGCAGCTCCTGCCTCAGGATTAGCAGAGGGACCGCGCAGGAGCCCCGACTTCAGGGGGCGCAGCTTGTTACCCTTTTGGTGGTGAGGTCCGTTTCCGGGAGGCCCTGCAGTACTGATATTTTCCAGATGTTTCTCCTCTTGTCTCCTCTCTGACTGGCTGTGTCTTCCTCTCATCATCCTTCCCTGTCAGTGATATTGAGATAAAATCCTGCTTGGGTCTTAGGCATGTTAGAATCACTCAGCAGTTGGAAGTGATTTCATATCTGGGCCTTATATTAACATTTATAATAGCCTTCGCTGCTTGGGAATAGCATAAATACTTTTTTTCTGTTCAAATCCAATATTGAAATAAAACCCAAGAGCATCTTTTACAAAAATTTACTTTTAATGGTGTGATAATTTGTAATAATCTGTGTGGTACCTTGTGGTTTTCAAATCACTTGTTGTTTATATTACCTTATTCAACACCAAACATAAATCTGTGAAGTAAATAATACTGTTTTTATCCCCATTTTCCAGATGAGAAAAGGAAGGCTCAGAGAGGTTCGTTAATATGACCAAAGTCATACAAATAATAAATGGCAGAACTAAATTTTAATTCAGACTCTTTAAATCCATATATTTTGTATATTGTTTTTATTAAGTTTATCATAGTGACTTTCCTGTTGCCCCTACCCCCCCCCCCCATATAAAAATGGGAAATGAGGGAGGAAGGCAGCTGGAAGTGAACTTATTAAAAGAATATAACTTCTCTCACATTTTTCTAATCGCTCTGTATATCTCTCCATAAGACAGGTATATCGATGGCCGGCCTTGTCCCCACCTCTCCGAAGTAAAAACCAAGGCTTTACTAAACTAAAATGCCTTCTTCTCAGCCAATTGTAGGAGCCTGTGGAGCAGCCCAGGGGCAGAATTGCGATCCGTTCTCAGGGCTCTTGGCCTCTTTATTCTAACAGCATTTCAAACGCTT